TCACTCTCATCAGTCACAGCTGCTGTGATCTGGGTCAGAAACTAGGCAAGCAGGGGCAGGCGTGAGAGATGTCACAGCAACGACTGCATCTTAGGGAGTGGGGACAGAGCTTCTGCGAGAGTTTCTTTCTTTTTTTTTTTTTTTTTTTTTGACAGGCAGAGTGGACAGTGAGAGAGACAGAGAGAAAGGTCTTCCTTTGCCGTTGGTTCACCCTCCAATGGCTGCCGCGGCCAGCGCACTGCGGCCAGCGCACCGCGCTGATCCGATGGCAGGAGCCAGGAGCCAGGTGCTTCTCCTGGTCTCCCATGGGGTGCAGGGCCCAAGCACCTGGGCCATCCTCCACTGCACTCCCTGGCCACAGCAGAGGGCTGGCCTGGAAAAGGGGCAACCGGGACAGAATCCAGTGCCCCAACCGGGACTAGAACCCGGTGTGCCGGCGCCGCTAGGCGGAGGATTAGCCTAGTGAGCCGCAGCGCCGGCCTGTGAGAGGTTCTGATCCCAGGGAGCAAGGAAAATGAGCGGACTGGGGACTGAAGCAGACACGTGGCGAAGTCTAAAATGGCAGCAACACATCCAGCCAGGGAGGCCAGAGTTTCGAAAAGATGCACTCTTTCATTACCAAACACATTGCACTGATTAAACGTTCCCCAAATCTGGCTTAAGTTCCGCCTCCCAGCAGGTCACAACCCCCTGTGGAGCTCACAGTGTTCCCAGAAACCCCTACTTGGTACTGTGCACCTCTCTTGAGCCCACAAATATTTTTGGAATGCACAGAAAAACAGCTCCACAGGGCTGAGGTCTCATTACCGATACTCTCCATTCCTGTCCTGTCCCATGCTTTATAATAAAATGGAATTTTTGCCCTTTAGGATTGTGGTCAACCATACAAGCTCATCTACCACACAACAACTGTGTGGTTAACCACCTGACTTCTGGGATGCTGGATCTGCAGCCACATCCACCCCCTGAGATTCCACACTAGCCTCAGACCCCCCAAGGCTGCAGGAAAATGAACACCCGCGATGCACAAAGGGCGGCCTTGATGTCAGAGCCCTGTGTACTTCTTAAAGTCATGTGCAGGAATCTTAGGGAAGCGGGCGAGGGTGGCAGGGCTGCAAGTAGTGCTGCAGACCAGCCGGTAAATGTTAGGAATCTGTCAATCAGGTTAACAGAGACATTAGACTGAAAAGGTCGGCAAGATGAAGCCTCTTCAGATCCGCCCGCCCACTGTTACTGTCAAAGGACCTGACTCTCTTACTATAAGGAAAGGAAAAGAAGTTCCAAGAGGTGAGAGGCAAGCTGGAACTACACCCAGCGGAGACCTGAAGTTCTCAGCTTTTCTTTAAAAACAACAACAACAAAAGATTTGTTCTGTTTGTTTTTGAAAGGCAGAATGACAGAGAGAGGGAGAAAGAATCTTCTATTCACTGGTTTGCTCCCCAAATCACCACAAAACAGCCGAGTCTGGGCCAGGGTGAAGTCTCTCTCCTGGGTGACAGGGGTCCAAGCACTCAGGCTATCTTTTGCTGTCTTCCTAGGCACATAAGCAGGAAACTGCATCAGAAGCAGTACAGCTGGGACTTGAATCAGCACTCTGGTACAGCGTGTCAGCTTAACCCACTGTACAACAGTGGCCCTAAGTTCTCAGCTTTAAACCCCAAAAAACAGCCTTACCTAACATCAACTATGGTTGAAAGCAAGTATAGAAAACAGGAGAACTTGATGAAAAAAGTGACTAAAAATAATATCAAATAAAAAGTTATATAGAATAGAAATCAAAACCTCCGTGAACAAAGACAAAAGCCTAAGAGGACAAAAGGCTATTTGCCTATCAGACTGGCAAAATCCAGGCTATGGGGAAACAAACACACACTCTCTCTCTCTTTTTAAAATATTTATTTTATTAGGGGCAGTGCTGTGGTATAGCAGATAAATCTGCCACTTGTGGCGCCCATATGGGATATGGGTGCCAGTTCAAATTCTGGCTGCTCCACTTCTGATCTAGTTCCCTGCTAATAGCCCGAGAAAGCAACAGAAGATGGCCCAAGTGTGTGGGCCCCTGCACCCATATGGGAGACCAAAGAAGTTCCTGGCTCCTGGCTTCGGATAGGTCCAGCTCCAACCATTGTGGCCATTTGGGAAGTAAACCAGCAAATGGAAGATCTCTCTGTAACTTTCAAGTAAGTGAATAAGTCTTAAAATTATTTTATTTATTTGAAAGGTACAGTTACAGAGAGAGAGAGAGACAGAGACAGAAACAGAGTCTACCACCTGCTGGTTCACTTTCTAAATGGCTGCAATAACCAGGGCTGGGCCAGGCTGGAGCTAGGAGGTTCTTCTGGGTCTCCCACATGGGTGGGAGGGGTCCACTGCTTTAAAAGATTTATTTGTATTTATGGGGCACTGGCATTGCAGGTGGTGGGTTTATCAATAATAGCAAAAGTTGGAAAACAAAAATTATCAATGGCAACAAAAAGAGATGAGGAATATCTGAATATGCAGCAATCCTAACAACACAGAATAGTATAAATGATATAATCTTTTCTGTAACAGCAGCGTGTGTGTGTGTGTGTGCACCAACGAATATATGTATTTGCTTAATGTTTGCACAGTGAAACACTAAGGACAGACTTTTCTGAATACATACTGTTTGTAATTTTGACCTTGGGAATACACTTTATGTATTCAAAAAATAGTAGCAAATAAAAAAAATTACCATAAATTGAACACAGAGTAAAACAACTTAATCTAACTGATTATCAAATTGGTGACATAAGCATCAGGGGAAATAATTACTTCAAATAGCCTCAGAAAATAGCATTTTGGTCTTTATTGTGTTATAAGGACAAAAAAAAAGCAGCAAAGAAATACAGAACTGCACTTGAAAAACTTACAGCTATTAGTTATACTGCTATCATTCTGAAAGTCCTCAGATTTTTATACATTGTAGGATAATTAAGGTATTTAAGTTACTGCTATCAAGAACAAGATTTTTCAGCGTCTCTGCATGGATTTCAAGTATAAAACCAAAGAAGTAAAAATGCTGTAATGTTAAATTTGACAAAGAAACTTTAATGTGAACTAACAACGGGTTAAGCCGCAGCTTGGGACATCCTCATCCCACGAGGAGTGACTGGTTTGCATCCCAGCTACTTCATTTCTGACCCAGCTTCCTGCTAATGCATCCGGGGAGGCAGCCGATGACGGTCCGAGTACCTAGATCCCACAGGGGAGCACCCACATGGGAGAGCTGGAGGGAGTTCTGGGCTCCTGGCTTGGTCTGGCCCAGTCCCAGTTGTTGCAGCTAGCTGGAGAATGGACCAGTGATGGAAGAGATCTCTCACACCGTCTCTCCCTTTCTGTCATTCTGCCTTTTGAATGAATATATAAATCTCTCTCTCTTTTTACGATAAAGGTTATTTTGGTGTGAGAAATTTTGGAATCCACACACACATGAGGTGACTTCAAAAAGTTCTTGGAAATTCATATTATGAAAAACTGCACGGATCTCAAAAAAATTGGCACCAAAATAAACTTATTCCTTAAATCGACTTTCCATGAACTATTTGAAGTACTTCATGGAAGAGGGGTCTGAGGCATCCTGAGGTCACCAGAAAGTGAACAGGACCTCAGAAACAAACCAAAGGACATAAAAAGCCAGCCCAGACAGGTCCAAAGGCCACGGGAAGAATAACTCAACACGAAAGGGATAAACAACATAGTTAACGAAAACTAACAAGAACATTTCATTGGCTATCTCAGAAGTAACTGGGTACCAACACCTTACTCTGAATAAAAAGGAAATGAAAAGTGCGGGAAAGTTTATCTTTACAGAAGTTATTTCAGCTAATCAACTGTGGACATAATGACAGGACTAGAAAATCATCATTCTGCTGTTTCAAGTGAAATAACTGATTCAGGTTACGATCATCAATGGATAAGAGACTGAAAGAGAACTTTCCCACTGGAGGGACCGGGGTGTGGGCACCTGCACCCAGGGACCAGCACAGTATCAGCACAAAGAGGCAAGTCAGGCATTGTGTGTCTCCTGAGGCAAGGCATCAAGCAGCTCACAGCGTCACCGGAGAAGCACCCTGGCCCTCAAAGCTGGCCCTGAATCTCGTCAAACATTTAGAACTAACTTCCATTTAACAAAATAGCAGATAGAGGAACAAATTCAATGACAGATTTCCAGATTTTCAGCCAATGAATACATCTTTCCACAGTACCACCACGTATCTCAGAACCAAATAAAAGCTACAATCTTAAGACCACCAGTTGTCAAAGGCACCCATGGCTTTCCATCCAAAGCATTCAGAAGCGTTATTTTAAATCTGCCAGCTGCTTCTTAAGGTCACTGGGTCTTGCACTCCAAGTATACACTTGTTTGATCTGTGCCTGAAAGGCTGCATGTAAGCTTCATTTGGTAACTGTATTTATTTGAAAAGGCTGGGTACGGCTGGCGCCGCGGCTCACTAGGCTAATCCGCACAACCGGGTTCTAGTCCCGGTCAGAGCGCCGGATTCTGTCCCGGTTGCCCCTCTTCCAGGCCAGCTCTCTGCTGTGGCCCAGGAAGGCAGTGGAGGATGGCCCAAGTGCTTGGGCCCTGCACCCCATGGGAGACCAGGAGAAGCACCTGGCTCCTGCCATCGGATCAGTGCGTTGCGCCGGCCGCAGCACGCTGGCCGCGGCAGCCATTGGAGGGTGAACCAACGGCAAAGGAAGAACTTTCTCTCTGTCTCTCTCTCTCACTGTTCACTCTGCCTGTCAAAAAAAAAAAAAAAAGGCTGGGTCATGGTAGAATTTAAATCCTTAAGATTTAGGTAAGGTGAGTGGCCTAAATTCCAAATGTATTTCTGTTCTTCAGATGAACTGGCTTTCTGCAGCCAGCCCTGCCATATGTTAAACTGGCCATAAAATTCGTAGCAGAAGTCAAGGAAGGGAAACTCTAGCTGACGGATGGAGAGCCATGGTGTGAAAGGTCAGGGGAGTGTGCTCACCTCCATGACAGAGCACTGTGGAGCATGTCTTCATGTCTTCTTCTCAGGGCCAGTGATACTTCAGATACCAGATGGTTTCATTTTTCAACTGTGGTCCAAAAAGAGGGTTGAGTTGGGCCAGAATTGCAATCAGCCAACTGGAAGAATGAATGAGAGGGGAGTGGTGAAATCACACTGGAGCATGACCATACTCATGTAGGGCAGAAAGGGATGTTAGCAAAACTTAACTCTACTCCATCTGGACCAAACTTTCAGTGCACACTGTGCTGAGGAGAGCCTGTTTCATAACCAGACATCTCCCAGGAGACACGACCTGCCTTCACTCTGAGACGGGCACAGAGCAGTGAGGCCTCTGCACAGGACCTCTCTGCCTTTTTTCTCATCACCTGATGACCTTTCCAAGTGTCTGAGGTTTCCTGAACGCATGGCACCTTTACCTCAAAGTATTACCGATGCTCACTTTCCAGGCTCAGGTCTTTTTTTACACTTTCTCCACAACCTACATGACATACCCTCGTGGAGTACCATGGTCAAGGTTTGAGTTCAGTTAATCTTCCAAGCAAACCAGGGGTGGGGGACCTTTTTTCCTGCCAAGGGACATGTTGGATATTTATAACGTCATCCGCAGGCCATAGAAAATGATCAACTTAAAAATCAGCCTGCTATAGATCTACTGAATTTCAAGTCTCACCTGGGGTTGTCTTGGCAGGGCCAGAACAAATGATTCTTTCTGCAGGACGTTCCCCACCCCTGACAGACTGTCACACAATCTCCCTTTCTCTAGTCACCATCACCGCTCAAACATCTGTGGGCCCCACTGTAGCTGAACCCCACAGGCATTTCACTGTTCCTGCCTCCTTCGGAATCTGGATAACAAGATGTTCCTCTGTATTACAGACTAATAACAAAGCTGCCACAGCTCACCTCAGGGTTAGAAGCGAAAAACAGCACAAAGTCACCTTTAAAATTTTATTACTTTGCTTACAGAATTCTGAATACATATTTTTATACCTGATGGAATCATTTATATGCCCAATGAAGTTTGAGACTGAGTTAAGACTAAAGCAAAGAACAAAAGGAAAGAAAAGGCATGATGCCAATGTCTGGCTATTCAAACCAGTCCCTGTTTTACTTACCCAACAAATACTTAAGGCGCACCTACTAGGTTCCAGCCCCAGGCACACAATGGAGAAGATGAAATGTCACTATCCTCTTAAGGCTTACGGGACAGAATGCCAGAAAATAGGTGCTAGGAAGGAAATAAAGCAGAGAGAAGGAATAGAAAATGGTTGGTCAGGGATTAGTACTTGGACAGGATGGTCAGGGAAGGGGGAGCGCTTCAGTGAACACCAGAATGCAGCAGAGCACTCCTATTTGAAATAAATACATGATTTGATTAGAACGTCTCTCCTGGGGCAGAGGTGTGTGTGGTGTGGGTGGCGGGAAAGGCTATGGTAAACAAACAAGGCCAAGCTCCATCCTCCATCTGCCCAGGGAGAACAAGCCTGACACAGCCATCCCCTCTGCAGGGGCCAGGGAAGGGCATTCTAGAGAGATGCCTCACTAGCAGTCTCAAACTTTCAGGCCCCCACACTCCCATCACAGAGCAATCAGCCAAACCCCACCAGGCCTTATCTCACCGGATCTCTTCCCTTCTATTTGTCGTGTTGGGAATGCTTCCAATCAGAGGCTCAAAAGGCTGCCTCTGGGGATGGGTTTTAGGTGTAGCAGTTAGGACGAAGCTTGGGAGGCCCACGTGCACTGGGCGGGGGGGGGGGCGAGGGGTCGACGGCAGCAAACTGGTTGAGTCTCTGTCACCCATGTGGGAGACCCAGATGGAGCTCCGTGCTTATGGCTTCAGCCTGGCCCAGTCCAGGCTGTTGAAGTGGATGGGAGATCGCTGTCTGTCCGTCTATCTCTGGCTTTCACTGTGATCAGAGCAGTGAAGAGACTGCTTGCGAGTAAGCCAACACAACATCAGAAGTTTGTGCCTACAGGAATGCACCGACCCCCCCCCCCCCCACACACACACCACAAAAGGTGGTTTTGTGGCAGGAAACACGACACCTGAGGAAATCAGGCCAACACAGATACCTCAAGCTGGCTGACTTTATAAACAAACAGTGAATTCAGATGAGTCTCTGATACCTCCTCAGAACTGGGTATTAAACATAAACACGAAACAAACACTTAGAGTTGAAGTTTAATAACCACCTGGTATAAGCAGAAAAGAAAGAGGAGGACAGCACAGGCAGACACACTGAGAAGCTCTGTGACCACAGTCAACACTCCCGGCGCAGGGCTGAGAGGCCTGGAAAATTCCACACAAACCCAGGATTTCCCCAATCCCAGCGGGCAACACAGGCGGCCAGCAAAAACAGATGCCCATACTTTTGTAGTAGGCTGAGATGACTGGCTAGTGCTCAGAAATATGAACTAAAAACCTAACCTAGTCCCTGTCTCCTTTCATCACCAAGAATGAAATGTTTATTTCACTCTGTAGGATGCTGTGGAGGAGTGGTTCTCGGCCCCTGCCGCACGTCACAATTACCCAGGAGCTTCTGAAAAACACCCGTGCTACACCTCGCACACACACCTCTCTATGAACTCCTGTGCCAAACAGTTAAGGAAACTGAGGCAGGGAGGGGCCATGTGATTTGTCTATAGTCACAATACTAATTAGGTAATAGCAGAAACCAGGTCAGCTTAATGCTCCCCCTGTAAAAAGTGACCTTTTAAATAGTGCAGCTGAGAACGTTTCAGAAGGCACTAATCTGGTTAACTTGAAACAGCCTGGGGATGAAGGAAATGAGGACCCATCTGCTGAATATCGAGTCCTGGGAGCCGCAGTGAAGAAAATCCAGAGGCAAAAATGAAGGCCGCTCTGCTTGTCGGCGCAGCATTCAGAAACTTTCTGAATTTCATTTTGCGCACTATTTTTAATGTTTCATATGAAGTGCAAAAAAAAATCACTTTAGAAAAATCCCAACAAACCACAGTTCAAGAAAATAACCTGGGACACAGTCCAGGCAGGCTCACTGAAGTTTCACAGAGGAATTTTCCCCCTCTGACCAGCTGAGCTCTGTGCCTGCCCTTCTGAGTACCTCCTGACTTAAAATTTCCCTTTAACGCTGATAAACATGCAGAGAATTGGAAGGAGAAAAAAAAATCCAGTCTGAATTGATGGAAGTGGGTGGAGGAAGAGATCATATTGCAGTGAATCTATGACTTCATGTGTACAAGAAGAGGAACTAAGTGTACCCTTCAGATTTGCCCAAACGGTTCCACATGTCTTCACGGCCTGAGGGGCAGCCTGGGAACCAACCATGTGAGAGCACTCAATTCAGCCAGCAGCCGCAAGGCAGCGGCATCTTTAAGAGAACTGCAGGGCTGGAATGGACCTGAGGTCAAGTCCATGTGCTTTGTTATAAAGAAGAGGATACTAGGTCCCCGTGAGCTTCATATTCCACAGCGAAGCAGTGATGGGGCTGGAGGGGGAATCCCAGGACTCCTGAGTCCCACAACACCAGCCTGCTTCTACGGGGTGCAGCCTAGGGGTTCCCCACACATTCCACAATCATTTACCAGCGCAGTGTTCTACATCAGGCTTTGATGATGCATAGAGGAGCCAGTTGAGGGCCCAACTCCAGGGGACTGAGGAGCCAGGAGAGGTCAACCAAAGACGGCGGCGGTAGGGCGAGTGAGCTTTGGGAGGGCAGGCGTGGGTGCTCTCACGCTACCAGCACTCTCTGGCTGCTCATCAGGAGTGCAGCAGAGCATAAACTATGCCCTCCCACAGAAAAGGCTCTTCCCAGCTTAAACACTGCTTTGTTCTTTTGTTCCACATTCAGATAGCAGTACAGGGAACAAAGGTATGGGTTACTTCCTGGTGAGGCCCAGATGGAGCAGTCGGCTTCCCTGTTAGACAGGGGAAGTCCAGCCAGGACCCTCCTTCTGATCCACTAGCCCTCAGGCCAGGGCCATAGCGGGGGTGGGGGGGGTGGTGGGGTGGTGGTGGGGGTGGTGGTGTTTCTTTCATGAGACAGCAGAGAGGGAGGAGGGCAACCTGCCCTGGCTCCACCACAATGACCGCACAGACCCCTTGCCCAACCCACTTGCAAGGGCAGCAGCTTTATTACATGCACCGGGACTGGGTTTCAGACAGGGCTGCGCTTTAATGTTGGCTTTAAGTACCAGTGGCGTGACCCCAGTCCTCTCCTGTAAGAAGGAGATGCTACTCCTCGCCTCAAGGTATTAGAATTAAAGAGCTAATGCACACACAGTGCTGCCAGCCAGCAAACACTCCTTCTTCCTTCTCTTTCTCTGTGAGACAGCTACAACTGTTCCCAGCCGCCGACGAGCCACACCCTCTTCGCTGTGCACGGGAGTGGTCCTGAGTCAGTCTGGTTGCCCCCAGCTCCACCTCCCGTGTGGCAGGGACATTTCTTTCTGGGAGACTCCCTCAAGGTTCCTGTCCTAGTGTACACACTCCACAGAAGCCTTGGGGACTGTGAACTTGACAGGGCAGTCACTCCTGTGATGAGACTGTTATGTGATCATAACGAACGTAACAGCTAGTTTGAATCATCCCTTTGAAGACAGGGAGACTCTCCTGAGGGAAAGCAGCCTAATCAGGTGAGCTCTTACTACAGGCAGGACGCTCCCTACCCAAAGACACTGGGAGTGCGGGGATGTCAGGAAGTCACTGCTTCTCAGCTCCCAATGCACCCTTTAGCGCGTGCTCTGGGGTAAACAACTGATTTCCCTCACTTCTCCTGCCATGGGAGCAGGATGTTAAGCTTTCTCCGCAGAGGGAGCTGCAAGGACATGGCAGGGGTGGGCGGGAGGTCATGGAGTGGGTGTGAGAATGTTCTTTGAAGCCTACCCAAGCTCTGGCCCAAAACATGGTCCTTCTTTGATCTGGTGGCCTTGACCTGGCAATAACATTTAAGCAGCCTTCTCCACATGGAAACCAGAGCTCCTGCATGGCCTAAAATGTGCTTTAAAGGCCACCTGCTCCCACAACACACTGATGTCACTGATCACCTGCTCTCTTGCCTGCACTCCAGAGAGTGCCCACTGCTGGCTCAGCAACCACACAGCTCCAGCCTGGCCAAACCAATGAACTTGTCCACCA